AGCACCATCTGCCCTCGTTGCTCCTGGGATGGCTTTGCTTTTAGGTGCTGTCAGCCGACAGAGCAAGGCAGATTAATATCTGTCTATCTGTCTATATCTTCCTAAGTGTATATGCATGTACATATCGTATGTTTCATCCTGTGTGGCCAAATATGCCAGTAGTAAGCTAAACATGAGTTACTGTGTGATCTCCAACTCTAATCTATCACCATGTGGACCAGTCTAGTCTTCTGCCTTTGTTTATTTATAAACTCCCACATCAGTAGACCATATCTGGCTCTTACCATTTGACAGCCCTTCATGTATTGTTCAATTCCACTGGACATGCACAGCAGGACTAAAATTGTTAACGTGTATCCTTGTGTGAAATAACATTACTCACCAGAACTCAATGGTTAGGCAGGGCTCCTTAGCATCCGGTCTGGTCAGTGCCTTTGATCAATGCCTCCTCCTCCACCCTGTAGTGAGGCTCGTTGGTACATTTATTACACACTTTCATTCCTTTTCACAGACTTTTTTCTTTCCTGGTATGGTCAAACTAGAGGTTTAATTTTTTTTTCTTTTTTTCCTTTGCCTGTAGAAGTAAAATTTCTCAAGGATCATTTATTTAAAAGGTTGTGTCTCACCAAGACCTGTCATGTAAAGGTACAAGATCCCAATAATGAATGTAACTGTACTGTATACCTAAAATGTACCAATAAACCCAATGAGGAAAAAAAAATAAATAAAAGGCTGAGTCTCCTTCACTAAATTCCCTTTGAACCTTTGTCAAAGCACTTGGCCATATTTGTATGGGTCTGTTTTAGATCCTCTATTCTTTTTCATTGATTTTTGTGTCTTTTCCTCTGCCAATACAACCCAGCCTTGATCAAATAAAATACTATTGTGGCTACACAACTATTGAATTGGGCCAAAAGATTTCTATCTATTTATTCTCTTTTATTTTCCAAAATCATTTCTTTGGATGCTGGTCATTGTGGAATAAGTTGTTGAATGATTTGATTTGGTTTTGTTTGTGTGTGTGTGTGTGTGTGTGTGTGTGTGTGTGCGTGTGTGTGCACATACACATGTGCTAGCTTTTCTTTGTGGTAGGTAAATTTCTTACCAGCCTATTTGATCCTTTCAATGTTCCTTTTGACATTTTGGGGTGTGAGTTTGGAGTGGCCTTCACTCTAGGGGTTGATTTACCTTACCACCTTGAGGTGAACTTTTGTAGCTTCTCTGAATATACTGAGTAGTCATTGAAATTTTTCCGTTCTGGCTTGGGTGAACTGGAATATTTCCAAGTCCCCTGTGAATTTGTGAAGTGTTCATCTTTTATATTGCTTGTTAGGCTCCTGGAGTTTTAGCTTACCCACAGTATTCAACAACAAACTCAAAGGATACAGCATATTTCTGGGTTTTTTTCTCCTGGATGCCTTTATCTTCTCTAGTGGTCTCCCCTCTGAATAATTACCCTGGCGTCCACAAACTCTGATCTCTGTCTCCTCCATTCAGTGAGACCATTGTGTTCTAAACTGGCCACAGGCAGAAATCCAGGATAATTGTGCTGCTAAACTATTTTATTTCTCTTCTTGCAGCAATCACAGTCCTGGACTGTCTATTGTCCAATTCTTGAAAGTGTTTTTTTTTTTCATATATTACATCAATTTGTCTAGTTGTTTACAGTGGGAGGATGACAAGTTCCAGTTACTTCACTATGATAGAAAAAGTTCCAAATAATTTTTTAGACTTGCTTCATCTGGAATAAAATCCTTGTGAAGAATAAGGGAATTATAGTTAAAGCGTCTGGCAGTGCCTAACACACGGGGGCATGAGCTTAATACTAGATAATTATGATTATAATGCTATCACTGATATCTCTCCAGGTAGTCTCTGACAGCTGAAGAATTTATGAATAGTAAAGACTTTGGAGTTTCTCTTGATCTTTTGCATTTCCTAATTTATCCAAGAAAGACAAACAGAATTAGTATGCTTGTAGACTTGCATAAGTACAGTGCTACAAAATACACCTATTATAGGTATTGCGTCTTAGAGAGTAGGAAATTGAAAAGAATGTGTCAAACATTTAAAGTTCAGACCCTGTTTACCAGCCTTAGTCAAGGAGAAATTTCATTTTATAATCTCTTCACAAATGTTATTCAAGCATAACAGTGATTAGAGGATAATTTATTTTTCCCCAACTCAGATGATAAAGAAGAGTATGCAAGTCAACTAAAGAATTTACTAGCTAGGGCCAAAAAAGGCTTATAGATTTATTAAGTTAACTATTAGTGAAGAAACATAGTATCTAATACTAAGAACGCATCTAATAAACTGAGCTAAGCTGCATGTAGTTTAGAAATGGAATGTCAGGGTGTTGAAATGCATAGAAAGACATAACGCTTTTAATTTGAGGGAAACATAATGGAAGTCGAAGTTGTTTTCCACAATTCATAATAAATGTTCATACACTTTGCATGAGATGGATAGTAAAAAGCGTGGTCACTTTAGGGCAGTGAACAGCAGTCATCCACGGGAGTCCTGTAGTTGAAAATCCCCTTGCATGACTCTGCCAGCCACCCCATGTTCTCACCAGCAGCATGAGAACCAGTTGAAGGAAAACGGATTCAACTGGAAGTGTTGGTTTGTATGCAGGTCACCTACTTGCATGTAGACACAGCTTTGAATTGCTGCAGGGCTCTGTCACCTCGCTGTGTGAAGAGCTGCCAGCTAACTGGGCCCCCAATGGCATGGAGTTTATATCATTTACTTAGGTCACTTCATTTCCGTTGCAGTTCTAAGGACATGGTGGTGGTGAAAATTACAATGGCATGGGGAAAACACTCTTTCTGGACCCTAGTTGTTAGGACCATGGATGGATGTTAGCCATTTGACAAAAGTCTACAGAAAGAGTCCCTCCTACATTTTTCTGCCGTCTTCATTCCTGCAAAATCCTTTCAATCCAGTGGGTTCCAAGAAGAGACATCCTGACTGTATACTACAGCCCCCAGTAACTCATGCTCTAACACGTGCATTGGACTGTTCCGTATTCTGAATGTTGAGTGCACCTGCTTAGAGAAACTCTGGGCTAGAGGAGTCTGGATAGACTGAATGGACAGTCCCTGGACTGCACTGCACAGAGTTTAGGAAATTAGACAAAAACAACATGGACGTTGGACATCAGGGAACAGAATAGGGCTTTTGAATTTGCCAGACTGGAATGGTGGGAAGTCAGGCCACTTCTGTGCTACTGTTATTCAGATAATGGGGTGTCCCATTTCAGAATTGCAGTGTTCATACTGCCAGCTGAATAAAGCTATCATTTACTAAACACCTCTGTTAAGCTTGCCTTCCCAAAGAGTTGGAAAATAGTACTGATGTATATATCTGTCAAGGTCTTTGGTTTTGTCCTTCAACATTTCTCAGCATATTCTTGTTTATGCCTCTTCAGCTAGTCTACCATGTAATGCCATCTGTAATAGTTTAGTCTATGTCCTTTCCCACTCAGAATGATTTACTCCATTAATAGAAAGACAAACTTTGAAATAGGTTAGCAAGATGCAATTTCATGTCCTTTCTCTCGATGTAAATTACTATATTTATTGCAAGAAACAAATTCACTTAGACACTGCTGAATTATAATCAACCTAGTCTGACCCAGAAGTAGTAAATGTTTTGTTCAAGAGATTTTACTTTTAAAATGAAATAGTCAGATGCCAGGATCCTAAAGAGTGTGAAATGAAACAGATGTGAAGTATTTTAGTGTGAGATTCCTCCTCCAAAATGGTCTGTAACATATGGTGGTTTTATAAATGTGAGGCAAACCAAAAGAAGATAGAAATTCAATTTAATGCTAAATAAGCCTGAAAGTAATTATCTGAATGTAATGAGATATTGTCTTTTGAAAAATGGACAAAATATTTTATTTGGTCCTTATTCAGTCTATGACTATAACAGTGCTAAGAGTTTTTTTTTTCCTTTTCTGCATTTACCTGACCAAATGAAGTCTTACTTTGAAAATTCCTTTTCCTCATTTTCACACTTTTAAGAGTGAATGCTTCAATTTGAAGGCTCCTCCTCAGCTTTGATGAGATGCCTTTGGGTTAGTTTTACAGTGACTTACTGTGATGAGTGTAAAATCACTTGCAGGTGGTTTTGTTCTTGGACCTTTTGATTACAAGCTCTTTTCTGTAAACTGATGTTTGGATCACTGTGACATTGGCTCTGGAACCTGTTCTGTAACTTTCTTCCGGATTCTCTGAGGAAGGTAATGATGCTTGGAAATGCTGGGTGTAGGGCAAGGTCAGGAACCCGAGGTCGTAGCCTTCGTTATGGTAGAACAATAGACTAAAGCGAAGGTGAGTTTCCTTAGGGCCACCTTTTCCCAGGGAGGATTTTGTCAGTTGTAGGTAAACCCCAGCAACTGTCTCTTCTTAAGGGGCCCAGGTTTTCCCTGAGCTTCTTGAGTCCACCTTCTCCCTGTGCCCCAGCCAGATCTAGGGATTTGGAAAGTGGAGTAAATTTTCGTAATTGAGTCAGGCCAGGCAGACAGCTGTGTCCAGAAAAGAGTGTCCAGTCTGGCAAATCCAATACTTGGCTACAAAATAATCAGAAACTGTGACTTTTCAGCATTCCGAGGTTTTAGAAAACTAAATAACAAGATACAGCTGCTGAAATCCAAAATAAAATTGACTTCTTTTGTAAATTCAGGAACCTAAGTTTGCTTTTCTGTCAACCTCAAAAGGTTTGCTTAGGTTTGGCAATCAGGTGGAATTAACTAGTCAATGGACCAAAGGAGAGGTTCTTCTTACAAGTATTTTTCTTTTTCTTTTCTGTCTTTCTGCTTTACTTTACTTTACAAAAGATCTTTTGTCTAGAATTTTCGGAGAGTTCTGTACTTTATCCACGGAATAGATCCATTTGGTGCCACTGCTGGACATCACAACCGCCAGCCCAGGATCTGGGGGTGATGGGAGCTGTCGCTAGACATCTCACTACCCCTTTCCCTGTCTCTCTAGGTGAAGAATGTGACATCGACATAAATGAGTGTGACAGTAGCCCTTGCCATCATGCTGGAACCTGCTTGGACCAGCCCAATGGTTACGCCTGTCGCTGCCCTCATGGCTGGGTGGGCGCAAATTGTGAAATCCGTAAGTGTTTCTGCGTCTCGGCTGCTGTTACTTAGCCTGACATTTTCCTTCAGCAAGAAGAGGGTGCCAACTGTGACCAGAAAGCCCCTGTACGCTGATACTGAAGCAGTGAAGGACAAAAGTGCCACCTGGGTCACAGCCGTGTCCCTGCTCTTCCCCGGCATTGTGCCCCGACCCCACTCCTCTCCTTCCCAAGTCTGCATCCAGCCTTTCTGCAAGGATGGGAATTTGCAGATGTCATCCAGAGTTCACTGTGACTCCGGCAGCCAAAAATGTGCTTAAGAGGGAAGCATTAGAGTCATATCAAAAAATAGAGCCTTTGTGCCACAAATTTTAAAAAGCCAACCCAGAATGTAAATTCACTTCACATGTTTGTCTCCCCGAGTGTGTTAAAATGCCTTGCGTTCCATCAGTTGCCTGAAGAAAAGTGCAGTGAGGGTGAGCTTTAAAGAAAAGCTGGAAAACATTTGGGCTCCTTCAGGGTCAGTGTTATATGATGGGTGAACTTGCGGAAGGTCGACAATGTCAGCATCAAGATTTGATACAGAGAAACTGTCTACCAAGACGGAAGTGAAAATGAGAGCTGACACAGGATTTTGTTTTCAGTTGTGTTGGAGATTGCTAAAGATTCAACATTAAAAGGTAGCGCCTTATGTAAGTCAGCCAGGGCAGGTGAAATCCAACCATTCTGGTTGGAGGGTTGCTTCTTCCTTATCTAGATGCTTCTTTTCCTGGGAACAATGTCCTGTAGGTGTCCTTTCTTGGGCCTCCTCATGCTCACTTTACTCCTTGGTGGATAAGAATAACCTGTCAGCTGTGTGAGTCTGGAAAGAAGCAAATAAGTGGACATAGCATTGTCTATCTGTTCATCTGTCTGTCTGGCTTCTTGAGCTCACCTGTCTGCTCTTCCATGCTGTGAGCGTTACAAGATCAAGCCTCTCAGCAGTGGTCCAGATGGGGAGAGGTTGTTGAACTCAGTATGTATCTGAAGTGGGGTGGCTAGGAAACTCTCTTATCCCAAAATATGAAGCACATTCCCTAGCATCAACTTTACCAATAACAAAGATACGATTTGGCCTCTTCCTGTCCCTTCTTTGTCTTTTCTTTGATTCATAACTTGAGAAGGAACAGAATATTTTTTTTCCAGCCTCTCGTCAACCTTCCCTAATGTTCCTATCCAGAATGGCCTCAGGACCAACTTTCTTTCCTGTAGAAGTGTGGGAAAAACTTCCTTGCTGAAGAGAAAGTCAAGAGATAGAAAAAGATTTCGATGCTAAAAATGCTAAAGACTGAAATGTGGTACAAAATATTGAGCTCCAGTGTAGTGGAATTGGTTGGTGGAGAGAATCCCAGACTTGGGCCATCAGGACCTTGGTTCATGCCCTGGCCACGGCTCTCAGAATGTGACTGCTATGCCTCAGTGTACATATCCGTAACATGAGACCAGTTTTCATTCTAAAATTTGGCAATTCTATGAAGTGACAAGTGTGACTTGGGGCACCGTATTATCTATTTATAACTTTAAAACAATATTTATGGAGATAAATATCTAGGGGACTATGGGTAAGAAAAGTCAGGGACACACAGGATGTCCTCAATATTTTTTGGAAGAAAAAATTCTACAATAGTAGAGAAAACATTTAAGTTTTACTGCCTTCTAGTGATGGCAGTGTAGTCAAAAGACACACAAGGGTGGAATAATAAAAAGGATCACATTTGGTTTCAAATTCTCACCGTCTCATATTCTAGCTCGGGGACAAATTTACCCCTCTGAACTTGTGATTACACTGAGCCCTTCCAGTTAAACCAGGATAATCTTTCCCTCTCTAGATCCTCAATTCAATCAACTTGCAAAATTCCTTGCTCCATAGAAGGCAAAACATTGACAAATCTGAGAAGTAGGACATGGGCATCTTTGAGGACCTTTATTTTGCATACTGTCTCACCCTGTCAACTGTTTCATTTCTTCTCCTACTTGTCTTTCAAAATGATACTATTTAGAGATTACTTGGAATCAATATTACCTATAACAGTTTTGTCTAAGGATGTTATTTCCATGACTGTGGGTTGTCCCTACTCAAGATGAGACTACAACTGGAATAAACGCAGCTCTCCAGGCCAAGGTGTTGGGTCTTAGACTGAATCTCCTGCCACCTCCAGCCACAAATGGGAGAAATGTTACTTCATCGCTCTGGAGCCTGGCTTTTCATCCATAAAATGAGGGATTCAGTGTTCTAATTAGTGCTTATGCTTCTAGTTCTAGTATTATGGGATTTCAGCCTCACAATAGTATCATAGTAGGCCAGGATGCACAAATTACAAGGTAGGGACTTGCTCTTATTTTTCTCTTACAGAATCCTACAGAATGTTGACTTTTGCACATGCAAAAAAAAAAAAAAAAAAGTTTAGTATAAAATACATATGGGAGGCTTACAAATACAGAGGCTATGCATACTCTGAAAACTTGCTTCTCCTTAATGAACAACATGTGAGAATCAGTTGACTTTGTTCTAGAGATTCCAAAACCCCAAGAGGATTTTTATGCGCATTCATACCATTTTAGCTGTTCCATAGTTAGTTACTTCCTGTGCCCAGTGTTTACCCTGATGATGGATGTTTCTTAGGAATTTTCCCCTTTTGAGTTACTGTTAGGTCCCCACTTAGTATAGAAGTAGATTAAACATATTTACCAACAGATTTACACACACAATATAGCAGACTAAACAGACTTACCAAAATCATCAAGAAAATTGGTCCTGGACCATCCTAATAGAATAATTCAAATAGCTGAT